CGGAAACATTGAAATGGAATCGTAAAATATTTAGTATAGCGTCTGTTGCTTTTACGTCCAACAGATGGCGCTGTTTTTCAAAAAAAGCCTGTTTTTACCTGTCACAGGCGTGACATTTATATGATAGTAGGTATATAAAAACACGCGCGTATTCGAATGCAACGTTGTGTCAAAATTTCAAAGCAATCGGTGAAGAACTTTCGGAGATTTAAGATGTTGAACAAACGAACATTTACATTTTTATTTATATAGATTTATATACATACTAGCTGTACCCGGCCACTCATACTCAATTATATTTTAAGGACATATAACGCTTGATCTTGAACCAGTGGCATAGTTTAAGTGAGCCTGGGCAGGCCGTGGTCTGCCGCTTATCATTCAGGCCCTCCAAATTAGGGACTATATGATGGTTCCCACGTTCGATTACCTCATATGTAGTGCTCTTGTAACTAATCCCCTAGGGTTTGTTGGCCTTTTGCCTGTCCACCGTAGTTGCGAACCCAGCGAAAATTTCGTATCTGGCTGCGCCGCTGCCTTGAACTCGAGGGACCTGAAGGTCTTGGATCTGTACGCAAGTGCCTACTTTGCCATATGGTTAAAACATTTCTTGTTCTTTTGATAAACCGACACATGAAACCAACATTAACTTCTGTATGAACTGAAAACTGTGCTAAACGTTCAATCAGAACAAAATAACTATGATATACATAAACTAGGGATGCGGGTTGGCACTGTCGTAGAACTTCGGATTTCAGAGTTGGTGGGCCGTACTCGAATCGAAGCAATACTACAAAATAGCCCCCATTGTCATAAGTACGAAAACAAACATCATAAGTCGACTAGTGTCAACCAGTTGGTTTTATTTGTTGATAAACATACCCTGTTTAATTTTAATTATTTTCTTGATTAGCTTGTTTTATTAAATAATTCTTAATTTCTTTTCTATTTTGAGAGAACCTACCATTTTCACCGTGTTTTTTACTACAATACTAATTTTCTAAGCGCAGTTACTAAATTTGAGTCAATGTGCATAAATTTCAATCACTTTTGTGTTTAATGTTTTTTTTTTATTGTCATTTCATTCAAGTTGGGGAGGGGACAACTAACCATTAGAAGGTTACACCCAGTTTGGGGGCAAAGAAATGAAAGTATGAAGCTAGAAGGTTACAGGCGATGGTTAAGAGATCCTGACGAAAACGACGTGGTTGCGAAGGTCGTGAAAAATATCAGAAGGATGGGTATGACATCAGTAAAAAGCGAAAACCGGAACAAACATATCATGTGGAGGAGCGAAAGAAGTAGCCAGATGATCAACCTATCAATGCTCGAGACAAATGTAACCTGGTAGATTTGGTTGCAGCAAAGCATTATGATTGGGATTATCTGGTGAAAGCAACATGACATAGAGTTTCAATAAATAATTAATTGGGGTAAAAATTTGGTGAGGGGTTCTCATTAGCATGGAGAGCAGATCCATAAATATGACATAACGATTTAGAAAACAGTGGTGAACATACTAGGTTCGAAGGTAGTGGAGATGGTGAAGAATTGGCAGGAAGGAGATGTGGTTATTAACGTCCAGTGTAGGACTAGGTAGTTCCAATAATTGGAAGTAACGATAAAAATTGTAAGAAGCGGAAATCCACGCAGTACGACTGTATGTAAAATAGGGGAGAATGAAGGTCTGGTGTAAGTATACGAAAGAAGGAACAAATTCAAATTTAAAGTAGTTTCCGATAACTAACGTAGTAGCTGGAAACGGGAGCTGACTTTATGATTGATAACAGTCATATGAGCCTTACAGTTAAGGTGTTTGTCAAAAGGAACACCTAGGTATTTAATGGTACAAGAAAGTTAAATTTCAACACTATTAACTTGGACAGTATGTTATTATGATCATGAAGAAAAAAGATGAAGTCGACACACCAGCTGCGTTCAAGGGTTTTGTTGAAGTCACTAGTGAAACTGATAGGATGACAAGATTAGACCTGAACAGGAGACTTCTCTGGCTTGAGGAACCTAAGAATAGTGGTGGTTTTCCAAGAGGCCGGATAAAATCCCGACCAAAGAATAAATGTGTAGAAAGTGGCAAGAAGAAGAAGGCGCTGCACAGAAGCAAGTTGGAGATAAGAATAAGTTA